TGGGATTAAATAGCTCCTATTCCAGATCCACCTGCGCGGTTTAGTCGAACAGCGGTTTCCTACAACAACAACAACAGTTTTTATTCATGATCTTTTTACATGAGGTAACAGTGGGATAGTTTGCCCAGCAAAGAGCTAGAAAATAATAGCTGTATTAGCGTACGCGAGAGCGAAGCCATCGGGTTAAGCTTTCCGATAAATTATTAGCAAAGAAACAAAACACCAGAGGTGCTTTGCGTGAACTAAAAAATGAAAACATTGGGAAGATACAAACGTGGGACGGAAAACATTTCTACTTTTTAACTCCTACGACCTAATCAGTAACCGTCACTTCCTCGAAAATGAACTGAAAGAAGTAAGTGTAAATCGAAAATTATACCCATCAGCTGATAACTGTTTCCATTCTCAATGCCTTTTCGGTGAGTAATGCATTTAAATTTCTAAAAACATGGTTACCGAAGAGTACGACTTATGTGTATATTTACGGTATTTTGTGGTGTATAACTCACCGTATTTATATCAAAGGCATTTCCATCGTTGCCGGATATTATGCTGTAAAACAATTGGCCATTTAAACCCGAATCTGGATCGGTGGCGGTTACGAAACACACAGCCACGCCATTGGCCAAGTTCTCAGCGACAGTGCAGTTGTACAGCGAATGCGGAAAGGAGGGTGGATTGTCATTGACGTCACCAACTGTTACCATAACATAGACCGATGACGCCAGTGGAGGAGTCCCATGATCTGTTGCGGTCACAACCAGCCCATAGGCAGCCTTCTTCTCGCGATCAAGTGTTTGATTAAGTGTAATCGATCCATTCTTTTTATCCAAGATAAACGTTCCGTCTTCATTTCCGGTCTTAATATCATAAGTTATTTCCTTATTGAGTCCTACGTCGTTGTCTTGAGCAAAAACCTTGACAACGGATGCTGGAGGAGAAGCAGCCTCGCTGATAGACGCACTGTAGCTTGATTTGTCAAATAAAGGTGCGTTGTCATTCACATCTGAAATTGTGATTTGCACGTCGACAAGAGCATCTTTGGATGGATTTCCACCATCGCGTGCTTCTACTTTCAGAGTGTACAGTGCAGTTGTCTCCCTGTCGAGTCTGGACTGGACACTGAGGACACCTAGTGACGAATAACATAAAGATTAGGCTTCTTACACACCTTGTACCATTTGCTCCGTAGCTTCCAGTATGGACCGAGAAAACGAAGTAAATAGGATATTATTATTGGAAAATATTTATCTCTCGGTTCAAATAGAGGAACAATCATTTCAATTCAAGCACTTTAGTAGGCCGTTCAATGAAATACGGCCCACTAACTTGGCAAATCACATTGCACGTACTACCTGAGAGATACAATAATGCACTCTAGAACCGTTCGTCACTGACCAATCCGGAGTGAGAAATTTTGTTAAGCGTATAATAAAATTAGAGGATACTGACCAGTATTTCCATCAATTGTGAAGGCACTGCCCACGTTTCCTCCCGTTATGGTGTACAGCAGCCTGCCTCTTACCCCAGAATCTTTGTCTGTAGCGAAGACTGCTCCAACCCTCTTACGCACTGCTGCGTCTTCGCGGACAACTAAGTGATAGCTTGACTGATTAAATGAGGGTGCATTGTCATTTACGTCTTCAATGAAAACCTTCACCGGAACTGTGGCTGATTTTGCAGGGTTACCGCCATCCCTTGCCTCTACCATCAAGTCGAACTGCTTTTTGGTTTCGTAGTCAGGTGGGTTTTTGATCAAAAGATACCCTAGGAGAAAGAGTACTTACAAATGACGAGCGTGTTTCTGGCTTTCAAACTAGTATGAAGGTCAAAGGAAAAAGCAGCGGCGCTTTTATCATTTGTTTGTCACATAATACTTGGTTACGAAGGAGACTCTGGCCAACTTTATTGTTCAATGCTACAGACATGTCTGGTTGGATATAACGAAATATAGTTGCAATTTATAATAATAATAATAATTTTCACTTTGAGTGGAAGCTTTATTTATAGAGGGTAGCACTTAATAGCTAGAAGCTAATAAACTTGCAGCCCTCAGAACACCCACCCATCCAACCCCAGGGGAGGACATCCATCACACAGTAATCTCGTGCGTGGGAAATCAACGTCTCCTGCAGGAGACGCGGGGACCTACGGTTTATTCGTCCTTATCCGAGAAGACTAGAATATCTATCCATTTCTTGATGTTATAGAAAGGTAGCAAATTCTCCCCAGTTGTTTTAAGACCCTGAGTGTTGGTCCGGCCGGGACTTGAACCCTCGACCTCCCGCACAACAGTCCGGTGCTCTACCAATTGAGCTAACCAGGACTTCGGTTCGACAGGGTCGAACCGAAAGCTTACAATGGCGCCTCTGGTAGCCGTTATACGGTCCATGTGTGATCTTGGAGCACAGCTTACAGCCAGCTGGAATCGGCTGTATGTAGGTTTTTGGTGAGGGAGGAAAACCGGAGAACCCGGAGAAAAACCCTGTGTTTGTGTGCGTGCGTGCGTGTGTGTGTGTGTGTGTGTGTGTGTGTGTGCGTGTTTGTGTTTTTTTATGTGTGTGTGTGTGTGTGTGTGTGTGTGTGTAGGGGGGGGAGAGGGGGGGTTATCTGAACAAATGTTCTGTTACCTTTGCTGTCGATCTCAAAAAAGTTTCCATTCACGCCCCCAACAATAGTATACGTTATAGCTCCATTTGATCCGGAATCTAAGTCTGTAGCAGTTACCTGAGAAGACGTAAAGGCCATTAATAATCACAAAAAAAAAGACAAACAAAGAAAAATGTAAAACAAATCAAAACAAATTAAAAATTAAATTTGGTGATGATAAGCAACGCGGGTATGGCAAAAAAAAAATCCACACAAGTTCGTAAATTTTCACCGCGGTGATAATCCGACTCTTGTCGTGATATCGCAACATTTAAATGAGGGGAAAAGAAAGGGATTAGCTATTTTAAACAGAAACAAAGGTTGTGAATAAAATCATTTCATCAAAAGCTGATAATATGAAAGGTTTCATCTTACCCTGAAAAATGATGTTCCACTTGCTTTATTTTCCTGTACTGTTGCTCTGTAGGATGAGAGGCTAAACACTGGGGCGTTGTCGTTCACGTCCTGCACCGAGATTGTAAGATCAGCAGATGAGGACAGAGGTGGACTTCCTCTATCTATGACGCGGACTTTCAGTGTATAGCTTATTCTGCAAAAGGGAAAGAAAAACACCATATCTAAACAGAGTATGAAAGGAATAGCGTCAAAGGCGTTTTTATATGACCTCAGTGACATCTAGTACAGATGAGAGGTTTACTTCTGGATGGGATAGTAACTGACAGTAAATTTAAAGTGCGAATTATTTCAAATGTCTATAAAAAATATTCACTCTGCTTTTGAGTATATACCATGTGCTGGTACGGGTACACATACAGCTGCTTCGAGGAAGGTTGTCTGATAAAAAGACAAGTACACACGACAATCTCGAAAGGTAATCTGGGTATATGGTTATCGAAGAATTCAAAGAAGTGAAATAAAATAACACATTCATCAAACCCGCGAAACCTCCTCTTTACAGTGACTTCTTCTCAGATTTTTCTGAAATCCGGGCGTCAGGGAACCTTGAATTTTTTCGGACAACTTTTTCTCGAAACAGCTTTATATGCACAGGCATCCCAAGCTTACCTGAGATTAGGATGCCTGTGATGTAACTAACTTAAACACTACCTTATTTCATAGTCCAGTTTACGAGCGAGAGTCATACTTCCTGTTTTAGCATCCACGTTGAACAAATTCTGTTCGTTTCCTTTGTCGATGTAATACCGCATATCAGCGTTCACACCTGTAAGAAACCAAACAAAGAAAAATGAGTAAAGTTACAAGCAGCTGGAAGGAGAGGGTATCTGTGAAAAAATCTCCTTAACGAAGATCAGTTGAAACGAAAAAAAGATTACGTGGCAACTGCAGTGAGAGTAACAACTGTCTGCAGCGACGCACATGCTCTGTTTACCATTTACAGTCTGCATCACTGCATAAGCAGTTTCACATGGTTAATTTTGTCAAATCTAACATAATTTTTAACATCGAATCTATCACGCTATAGAAAAGTCATCCAAACGCAGAAAATTCGACAAGAATTGTAAGACAGTCAACATTTTCTCTTTGTCAAAAGTTTTGTATTTGCACCTATCTGTACCCAGGTCTGTCATAAACGCCTTGAAAATAATCCTCTTAAAAAATATTTATTCAAAATGGCGGAGTCTCGACCTCTCAAAGTCTTCTTCTCAGCCGTTGTATTATTTGGTCTGGTCACGCATGGTGTGACAAGAAGGAGTGAAAGAAGACAAATGAATATCTCGTTGCCCGGATGAAACGTTTATCCAAAACAGCTAACTAACCTAAATCTCGGTCAGTCGCTGTAACAACAAATACCACTTCCCCGGTGTTTTTGTCTTCAGGAACTTGTTTTGTCGCTGGTAAGTTGTTAATTGCCGGTTTGTTATCATTCACGTCTAGAATCGTAATATCCACCGTCGCGGTACCGTCCTGAGGATTTTGCCCATGATCCCTCGCGCGCACGGTGAGCAAATAAGAGGCCTTGGTTTCTCTGTCGAACGACACTTTACTCGTAATTGTCCCAGTGCGTGGGTCGATCATAAATGCACTCGTATCCCCAAAAGTTAAATTGTATGATAACTCGCTGTTGGACCCGGCGTCAGCATCTAAAGAACACAAAATTGAAGGAAATCACGATCACAGTATAAAACAAAACAGAAAAGAGCGCTCTTCGATTGAGTGTCGTAAAACCATAACAAACGAAATCACAACGGTCAATCAGGAGAAAATAAAATACTTTTAATAGCCAATAATGAGAACTCCTAGGAAAAACAGCCAAACTTCTTAAAGCGCGCGAAAACGCGGGCGACAAAATCGTGATTGGTTTTAGTTTTGCATCCGATTGGTTGAGAAAGAAAAGCGAGGTTTATGTACCAATCCCATAGCCGAGAAAAGCAAAACCGATGCAATCTTGGACGACTTTGACACTCGGTAGAAAATTGCTCTATTTGCAGCTATTTCTTTGGTTGACAACCTAAAGAAACAAAACACCTTTTGGTTAAAAACGAGAAAACGAATAAGTCTTCTTCTAGTCTTGTTTTGCTTTGTATTTTTGTTTTACATAACAAACAAATGAACTAGTAAACTATAATTAGTAAAGCCTGTAATGAGGCTTCAGCCTTTGGAAGTAATGGCACAAGCTGACGAGCAAGGACAGCTGGAGGTCTGAGGTCTACGCTCCACAGAAAATCAACACCGTTTTTCGCCCGCGTGCACCTGGTGTTGAAATCTCTCCGCTGAGAAAGAAACCAGCTTGGGATACAAAAAGACGTACACTCACCAAAGGCAGAGACTTGTACAACAGTGCTTCCTGGAGCGATGTTTTCTTGCACAGATGCTTTATACGAGTTCAGTGTGAATCGTGGGCTCTCATCGTTTTCGTCCAGAACTTCTACTTTAATGCGAGTTGATACTTCCAGCGCTGGTGAACCACAGTCTTGCACTGTAATCACAGCTGTATAATGCGGCTTCATCTCACGGTCTAATTTTACAAGCACATGTACTTGCCCACTGCTATCAATACCAAAGACCTTGGAATTTTGCGACTGCTCCGTGACAATTTCGTAAGTTAAAGAACTACAGCCTGTATCAGGATCTTTAGCTTGAATCATGCCTAATGGCGCATTGCGGTTGTTGTTTTCCTTCACCGAGAACTTACAAGTGCTATTTCGCGCGCAGTCCTTCACGAAATAAGGGGGTTCGTTGATATCTTCTACAATTACAGTTAGCACTGTGGTAGCACTCTTGCTTGGGCTTCCGCCGTCTTTGACAGAGATTGTAAGAGCGTAGCTACTCTTATCTTCGTAATTTAACTCTTGTGTAGTCTCTACTTCGCCTTGGTCGTTTATCTTGAATCTTTTATCGTTATTTCCCGCGACGATGCTGTAAGTCAACTGCGCGTTCACGCCAGTGTCGGCGTCCGTTGCGGTAACCATAGCAACAAAAGTATTGGCGGGAGTTTCTTCGGGTACAGTTGCCGAGTATGATGCGAGTGGGAAGATTGGAGGATTGTCATTGATGTCTTTGACGTTAACAAGAACAACAGCGCGACCTTTGTGGCATCTGTTGTTAGTGTTCTGACCGAGAACAGTCAAACGGTAGGATGATTTTGTTTCTCTGTCTAGTTTCTTTGTCGTTTCTATAAGACCACTGTTCGAATCAATGCTGAAAGTGTTTCCATCATTACCTTCAATGATGCTGTATTTGAGCCTGTTGTAAAAACAATATAGAAAACATTTAGATTGGGCTATCATCGCTTTTTCGCTGTTTTTGGCTGATTCAGGTGATTTTGTTCTTGTTGAGCTCATCTTGGATAGTGCACCTCCAAGACTGTCTCAAAAACAAAGAAGTTAGAAAATTTTCTCGGGCGAGGGACGAAAAAAATATATATTCTGAATCTCCCACGAGGATTCGAAGCCCAGCCAATTCTGATCTGAGATATTGGGGACTAATCGACAAGATGGACTGTGCAGACTCATAAATGGCGGTTAAAACAGCCCGGAAAAAAGTAAGAAGGTGTTGAAAACTACTTTTAAAAGAGGANAAAAGGATGTGGAAATTAGCTAAGATCTACAGCGATTGGATATTAATAGCTTAAACTTGTTGACGTTTGCTGTCGATTTTTTACTTTCGTTTTGAAAAGTTGATGTTTTTTTCTTTCCCTCCACCAGTTTAAGAAAGACCCGATCCAAGTGTAACCGCTTCTGTTAAAGCTAAATGTTACCGCTTCCGAGAGAAGCTGCGAAATATTTTATGGTTTGATTAACGCCTCCGTGATTAGTTCATTTTAGAGAGAAAACTATAGTTAGCGTTTCAGTTCAGGATAAGACCTCGTGTAATCAAGGTCTTTTCTAAATAGAAGACAAGTTAGACCATAATCCTCGATAAACGGTAGTCAAGATCCGCGAACGTAAGGAACAATTTATTCTGTGACTATGATAACTCGTAGTTGTGATTCAAAGCGAAACCTATCGCTAGTTTTTTACCTTTCTTGTTTCTTTAATTGCCACGTGCTCGTTGCCCAAATCGATATTATTCTTAAAAGCTATGATCGCATAACACTTAGGTAATTTCTTCACGTAATGATTTCAGTTGACCACTTCGATGTAAGAACACCTCAAAGAATAGGAAAGGAATAAAGAAAGAAAAGATCCTATATTGGTTTGGTGTTTATCGCATGCGCGAGTATCAACCCGGGAATCGAGTGCAAATTCTAACTTGAAAGGAAACATTTACACCAAGATCAGGTGTTCCGCTCATGCGATTCATCAGTTTTGCACTGCGCATCCTATACTCCGCATAAATATCACGTAACCAGGCGAATAATCGAGCACTCAGTATTGTTTTTCAATTAATGGACTAGGTAAAGAGATACGATGGTCTTTTACTCGTGAACGTGCACAATGACCTGTATTTTTCATTGCATAATTTTCGTGAACAAAGTATCCCCTTGAAATTGAAGAAATTAAAAAAAAAATTACCGAAGAGAAACACATGTGGCTATAGCATGCACGATGCCCATTGCTTGAGGATGCAAATTATGAGCTGTTGTTTAAAATTGCGTAATTGTTAAACAAATTATACATCAAATTGTTCCATACTCTGGAGACTTTCTACCTATCCAGTTCCTCTACAAGTGTTACCTTTAAGACCCTCGCTCCAGCTTCCGCAAAATGTACCGTAAAGCGATGAAATGAAGCGTGGAACTAGTCCCGGTAAAGGCATGAATGGGGTAAGTTTGGCCCATTATATCTCTTAAAAAAGCACGGTGACCTATCATTTTTATTGTATTTTTCGGAACAGACTTTAGTGGGGAAAAAGGAAGGTTAAAAAAAACTGTTTGGCAACTTTTTTTCTCAGAAATTATTTTTAGTTTTCCGTTTATATAACAATTTTGAGCATACGTGCATACTTACGTGTAGGAGTATGGCGACAGATTTTCATTCAGCACCGTGACAGGTGCGTTTTGTTCTTCCGTGACACTTGCAACGTAAGTGTCACGCGAGAAGAGAGCATCCCACATGGACAACTGAAATTTATTGCTTGAGTGCTGGCCTTGAACTGCCACGAAAACGATCTAAAGACCCAAATAAACGAAAAAAAAATTAATTAAAACAACACGCTTCACGTTGGGTCTGTAACCGAGAGAAGAACACGAACAGAATTTATTCAGAACAGAACAGAATATATATCTATATTCGTTTTGTTGTAAGTCAGGATTCAAACAACAGGAACTGACTCATCCCACCTTATTTGATGCGGATAGAGACAAGGAAATGGCACGAGGTGACACATCACTCTCATTTTTGGACGAGGCTGGATCTACAGGGCCTGGGTTGGAGCTTGTTAGCGATGCGTAGAGATGGGAAATGCCTGATGAGATATCAGAAACAATAATTATTCGATAGACACAAATCTAAAGGTTTGAATAAAAATATTAAAATAAATCTAAATGTGGAGAGTAATAACACATGAAAACGAGGAGATTTTTCAAATAGTTTGATTCGTTTAGATATGGCAAAAGTTGTTAATTTTTGTCCAAATAATTAAACACCGCTTCGCTCGATAGTATACGAGGGAATTTTTGTGCTAAAAAATTGTAGGCAGTCGACTGCATACCAGGAAATTTTATGAGAAATTGTGAGGTCTGTAGTACACAGCGGTTAAAATGAAATCGGTTTTATTCGCGTACCTAAGAGAAATAACTAAATAATTAAACACATGCTGTATATATGCAGGTCTCGAGGGTATTACATCACACATCACGCATCACATTACATCGCGCATATTACATGCTCGTTGGCATCCTATACACTACAAGGTCAGCTGCAAGACCCTGCGAATAAAGAACATTTTTTAACTGACCTTACAAGTCCTCTCTTTGGGATGTGAAAAACTTCTTTCAGATCGAAAGAGGTGCAGAAACAATAGTTTGGTGAGATAGAAAAAAAAAACTGAATTTGCAACAGTGAAAAATGACACAAATTTTAAGTGAAGATCTTAAAAAAGAGCCATAACATGAGTATACGTTCATGGTAACTTAGCGATGTTTTCAGTTATCCTGAAAAAGGTGCTTCTACGTGGAGGATTTTGAGTATCCGTAAGTTTAAGGGCCTAACCCCTCAACCGAAGAAAGTCAAGAACGTTACATGCGCCAAAAGCTGATCCTTTAAACTGTTTAATGACGACTTGATTGATCCGCCAGCAACTCACCGTCGATGTCTTTGACTTCCACAGATATTCTGTTCTTGGCCACGGTATCAAACTGTGTCCTGAAGTATTTAAACGTGTCGCTCTCCACAGTGGTAATAGTATCGTCACACGATGAGACAGCGGCACCCTCTGAAATGAAGGCGAC